ATCTTTTCTAGTAATTTCAGAATGTTTCTTTTTAATTTTTGCTTGTTTAGGACATGTGACAAATGTGCTCACAAACCATAAGATTCTGCCCAAGAAATTTTGCCTTTAAAATGTGCATTTTAAATCTACAGCTTATGACTGACAAATCGTAGAATATTTTAAAAATTTGTAACAGTCAGAAAATGTTACATAAAAAGTTGATCTTTCCCGAAGTATTCAGTGCAGCATAATTCTTCCCCTATGAAAAAATCACCTGGATATCTCTGACATAACTTTTGTAAGAGTTAAATAAATTCAAAGCAGGAAGGTAAATCCTTCATTGTGTGCTCTGTTTATGTACTTATAGAACATGAAGTGGATGAAAACAATGCACATTTTACAAATAAAGTGATTCATAATTTATAGCTGCTCTCATTTTAGTTTTCTAGCTTGAAAGATTAAGAGTCCCTTTTAAAAAGCATCTCTCTTGCTTTTTAAAATCAAAACAATACTTCAAGCTGAAGGAAAAAAAATACACATCAAACCTCTGCTTTAAAAAATGTGAATCCCTAGCTTTTTCAGATTTCATGTAAAAGGAACCTCTCTTAATAGTTCCGTTATTATATGATATGATATATCATATGATCAGTTCCTACATTTTATTAAACATAATTGTCCCTATACAGAGCCTAAGAGTTAAAACCACACACTTTTGTAGTGCAACCAACACATCCAAGCCACTCGGCTATTTCCAAGGGAAAATGTTATCGTCTTTGCAGTTGCAGCAAGCACTTGTGCCTTCCGTCTGTTTTCACTTGCACAAAGTTGAGGAGTTCCTCACAGTACCTTTTTCTCTTTACATGTGAAGTTATCTTTTATCTACTGATGTAAGCAAGTAAAAAGTATATTTACTTATGCAGAGACAAAATGGTTATTTAAAGCATAGTGAAAAAAAAGAAATCTAGAGAAATGGTTTTCATCCTTAATATTAACGATGTTTTACATATTTTTATCTCAAGTACAGCATTCATTCTACTGAAAGAATTAAGCAATGTATGTGATGGTTCAGATTTAGCAGCCACAGATGGCATTCCTTTCCTATCTCCATAAACTCAGAGAGAGAAATATGATTTAGGATCTGCTCACTATACAACTTGAAGCACTGAATAATTTAGTGTTAGGGGAAATTTTGTGAAGTCATTTTTGCAATAACCAGGCACAGTGGGTGAACTTCACCTCTCCCTCCTTTACCCCTTGATCCCTTTTCTCCCATTCAATCTACCTGATTAGTTGCTAAAAATTATAACACATAAGGAAGGACTGTTGGATTACATTCTCTTTTCTCTTCCAGCTTTGTTATAGAAAATGTGTCAGTCACTTGTGGTTAAAACTTACAATTTTATTAGACAGTATTACACAGGAAATTTACAATTCAGACTTACTCAATTCCAGCAACTAAAATTTAGAAACTATACCTTGAAATGATAGCATGCAGAATTCTGTGCTTTTCGAGTCATTCTGTTCAGGCCCACAAATTTAATTTTCCATTTGATAACTGGAGCCACAAAGCTTGTTTTTGGTCTAAAGGGTCACCTGTTGGAAGCATTCAAAAGAACATTCAAGCTCACACGTACTCCCACATGGATAAACAATTGCCAACTGCATGTGTGCTAATTAAGTATATCATCATGAAAAATATCGTTCTCCATGTCCAGCTAGTCTTTCTGACGTGTATGAAATAAACCAACAACAGAGCAGACACATTCAGGATGGAAGAGGTTTATTAGTTCAAGCCTGCCAGTGCAGGATTTCCTTTATCATGTGGCTACTGCATTTTTAAAAACATCTCCTGAAATGAGGCTTCCATTATTTCTCCGAGGAGACTTCCAAATTATTACAGAACTAAAGACATTTTTTCTAACATTTATCCTACATTTTCCCATTTATTTTGATACTATTACCCCAACTAACCAACCTTCACATCGTGAGATCTACTTCCTCTCTATAGCGTTCAAAACAAAACTGAGTCTAGCTTCTCCACACACAAATCACTCACTGGGCAGGTGATGTGAATGCTCCTTTTCTTTTATTGATCTTTGGGCTGTTCCAAACACTGCGCCACTGCATAATCTCCTGGTGCACTTGCAACTTAAATAGCGCACACAAGCCTCATTGCCCTTTTTCATAAAAATCACATTGTTTACTTTGAATATGTACAGAGACAGTCAAAAAGGATGAGTAGAGGTATGGAGCAATTAACCTGCCCTCCAAATAAGAAGGCACTAATAAAGAGAGAGAGTTGGGAAAATAGGTATTAGAGATGAGATATTAGACATGAAAGAGATCTAGAAAATTGTTAATAGAGAAGCTGAAAAGGGAGCAGTTATTTTCTCACTATACAAGGAAAACCTTATCCAACTGACTTAAAACTGAAGGCTTAACCACAGCAAGAAGATACGGTTTTCACATAAGACAAGTTATGGCATTCATTACCATAAAAACTTACGGAGACTAAAAATATAAATAAGTGAAAAAATAGACAAATTAACAGGTGACAGGTCACCGATTCCTATTATACATAGTTTTTCTTACAAGATGTATCTTAAGTCTTAGGAAGTCAACAGTTGATTGGCAAAAGCTGAAAGGTATACCCAGTAAAGCAGCGCTTTACACAGTTTCTTATATTTTTCCTTACGAATCTACCGTTAGCGGTAGATTCAGAGAAAGAATACTAAGGCAGATAAACCTCCGATCTGATCTACTATGGATGTTTGATGGGGAACAAATGGAAAGGATGAGTTATCCTCGTTCATTGAGGAACAGCATGGAGACTATTAGAAAGCATTAGGTTCAGTGTGCAGTTCCATCCAGTTGTTTTTTTCTAATTAAAACACAGTAATTCTAAGAGAGGAGATGTCATAAAGATGTAGTTTGGCCAAAATGGCATGAAGACAAGCATGAAATATTACAATAAGATTAAATAGACAGGACCACTATGATGCAAGTGCTAACAAAGATGTAATAACAAACAGTCCACAGTGGATGATAGATACCATATTTAGTTACCTAACGTATGTATTAGCTAAGGGGAAAAAAAAGTATGAAAGAGTGGCTTTTCCAACATGCTCCCCGACACATCTTACCTTACCTTATACAAACCTACTCCCTCCAAAATATTGAACAGGTGCAAAAGTCTTTGCTAAAGGAGGCGTTAAATCTTAAGCTGTTAACCTAAAGTATACCAAGACGACCAGAATTCCTCAAGGCAAGGTATTACAACTTGCTTTTGAGAAATCATTTTTCCACACATGCACAATAATGAGGACAAGGATGGTCACAGCAAAATTGGTCCTGATTCCTTAACTGATTGACAGGTACGTATCATTCCTGTAAAATGCTTACTAGTTGGTAGGACCCAGAACAGAACTATAATCTTCCCAACAAGAACCAATACGCTGAGTAAAGCCAATAGTCCAGTCTTGGCTTTTCAGAGCTTAGATACAAATATGTTATAAAAACATATATGTTTTCATATGTACATGTACACCAATAACAAAAAAAGGCTTGAGCCTTATGTTGTCTTTTCCTGGTTATGCAGAGAAAGAGAAGCAGTTGTGAAAATGGTACAATTTGTGTTATTTGAGGGCATGAATATGCCTTAACATTTTTCCAACTACCAAGAAAAGCTGTTCTGAATGAAACTTAAATAGGCTGATCATATACCATTAGGGTCCTTCATTTGAATCATTAGTGAAAATCTCCTGCTAATGCAAAATGACATTGTTTCCAAAAACAGCATTACAGAAACAAACAAACAAAATCAGAAACAGTCTGAATGCAGGATCAAGTAGTGACAGACACTAAGTTGTTGAATGCTTCCAACCACGTGAAGACAAGAACTTCTATTACTTATTACTCTTTCAAACTTCAGCTGAAACATTTTTTTTCCTAAATTATGACTTCATTCCAGCCCCTGCTTGTAACACCATTTTGGATCTTCTTTAGACTCTACAATTCTGTCTCTACTGCCCTTTTGTTGACTAAAAACCAAAAAAACCTCAAACCCCAACACCCTAAAAGAAGGAGCAAGAGAAGGAGAGAAGAAAAAGAAAAGGAAAGGTGCAGGAGCAGCCTTGAGCCTGAGGTCAAAACTGAACTTTTTTCTGAGCTTTCCAACTCCTGCTGAGTTGCCGATGCTGACAAATGGGAGGTTTTGAATTACTGATTGCTTTTAGAGTGCCACTTCAATCACACCATACTGAAAATATTTGATAAATATGACTTCCAATAGAAGTTAGTAGAACATTATATGTTAAATCAGAATAAACCGGAAGGACCTGTCGCTATTGTTAATGGTTTCATCATATATCACTCCCTTGATCAACAGTTGGTGAGGAAGTAAAAAAAAAAAAGGGGGGGGTTGGGGAAAAAAAAGAAAAAGAAAGAAAAAGATAGTAGTCCTATGGTCTGATTTTATGCCTTCCAAATCATGTATGATATACTCACACATGCATGTGAACTCACTCCTAATCTCTGCAGAACTCAGTAGGAGCTGCCTTGCCTACCCCAAGCATCTGAGAACCTGTTTTTAATAAAACAATTTATTTTATTTTACTTTATTTAGCTCAACTTTTGCTCAATTGTAGTCTGACACTTTCTAGAGCGATTGTCTTTTTGTGCTCATGTGTAACTGAAAGTCTAAACCAACACCTTTCAACCCTTTATAAGTACACAGGCTCTATAATAAGCAAGACTATATACAGTGATCAAAAGAGTATCACTAACATTCTAGCATTTTTAAATGTAGCTATAGGAGGCCCTAGATAAAGCATTTCTGAATAATAAAATACCCTCTCCTGGATTCAGCTCTGAACAGAAGAGTTTAACTTATTTTTCTTAATATCGGTGTCTAACTACAGGAAAGCATACTCAAAAGACACAGCTCCCCAGTTTATTCATTTTGAGGGCAAAACCAATCCAAAATCTACTTAAAAACAAAACCAAAGAAAACACACTCTTACCTCTTCCCTCCCACACCTCCCTGGCATTTTCTGAGAAAAAGTCACCTTAACTGGAGCAATAGTTTTCACAACGACCTGGCTATGATTTGGTGGGCTCTGGTTTGGTGGGCTCCTAGTAGGTCCCCAGGACTTGCCTGCTTGACATAAAGATTGCTTTAGGACCAATGAAAAAGGAATAGGTGCTCTCAAACAGGTTCCGAATACTTTAAATTTCTGTTCTTATGGATATATGCATACGCACATGTACACAAACACACATACACACACCTCACAGTAAATATCTCAGCTACTACTTCTTCCATCCATGGTATTTCTAGATACTACTGTTTAACTTTTACTTAATTATTTAATGGAAGACCCTTTGCCACAGCCAGCACCCTTGAAGGCACTCTGTGAAAAGAGGTGTAAGATTCAATTAGCAAAATACTTCAAAAGGTACTTTTGTAAATAGCAAAACGTAGACCACCATCATTTGGGTTGATATTAGCATTAGGTAAATATAATGTGCATTTCTCTAACGTTTAAAAGACTATTTCTGGAAAAACTCAAAATCCCTGGTGTAGTCTTGTTCTTGGGAGCATTCACATAACCACAGTTTGCAGAAAAGTTTGGAGAAAATTATTTTGAGTTACAATACATGAGTATTCATGAAAACGCAATTTTGAAGTTCAAATATTAATTTTTCAAATGTATCTGCATTTAGGAACTATGCTACCTAAAACAATGCTACCTGGTTTTTTTCTGACCAATTCCAATTAATCAACACAGCTCAGTAGCAAATATTATACATCAAGCCACAAAGTTTAAAAAAATCACACACAAAAATCAAATATTTTGACAAACAATGCATTTGAGAAAACGATAATCTACTGAAAGAAGTCCAAGAGTGGTAAGAGAGACTAGATTTGCTACATACCGTATTAACTAAAAATCAGTTGTTGACTCCTATTAAATATTTCGAGGAAATTACAATATTTACACAGATTAAAATAAACCCCACTTTCATGGTGATTTTATGAACTAATTTATTTCTCTCAAGAATTTAGAGAAAATTAACACGACCCAATACACAGAATAGGGACATAAAGTGAAGCCCCTGTTAATAATTGAACTATGAACGTGGAGCGCATTGTTACCTTGGCACGCAAAGCCTCTTTCTTCATAGCCAGCATTACACAAGCACTTCCCTATGGGCACTAGCCATTCTCCTTCTGTACTGCAATACATCTTGGGTGGCTCTTCCTCCTTGGAATGATTGACACAAGAACCCCGCACCTCCACCAGTGACTGGGAGTCCATGGGTACCGTATCTGGAAACATGGCGAGGTTCTTGACAGTGAAAGGGCACTTTTTGAAGTACACTCGCACCGAGACTAAGGCAACACACGCACCTACATCTTGAAAAGCCAAGTAAAAGCCTTTCCTGCTCGCGGACTTCCGTATTCAGCTTGAGAATTCGGTCCCCAAGATCCATCTGGGTGAAGCTCTCATCGGCCGCAATGGTGTCGATCTTTGTAAACTGATGCTCTCTGAACTTTACCAAATGGTCATCATCGGACTCCATATAATACAGATTGAAGGTCTCTTTGCAAGTGCCCAGAACTAGAGGGATACTATTACAGTCCCTCAAGGTAAACTTGAGCTCCACATATATCTTCTGAGCTGAATTGCGTGGAATCCAGTTTGTTCGCAGCCAATTGTTTTGACTATGATCCATAACATTGCACACTTGGTAAGTTCTGATTGGAGTATAATGCTCATCAACACCACTAATCTCTTCCCACTGGAAAAAAAAAAAAAAGAAAAAAAAAGAAAAAAGGAAATATTTTAAGATTAATGATTATACCAATAAAAATCACATTTAGAGGCAAAAGCTGTGAAAAAGCAAAAATCACTTTGCTTGGACATCATGATAAAATAGACAACAAAGTCTGGCTGAACTTGCACTTACTTTTTTCCTATTAAAACATATAAACATCTTAAATGAACACAGAATTCACCATTAACAAGTCAGTTTTTACCAAGTTATTTCAAGGTGGCATGAAAGAGATACTACAGCTGTTTTGCATTATTAAAATCCTGTGATTTCTTAAACTATAGGCAGTGACGTCCTTTCAATCATGATCCCAAAGTGTCTTTACTACAACCACACTCACGTCAAACAGAAGAGGTTCACTAGGACACCACCACATTTTCACTGTTAGAATCAAGTTATATTTCAAAGATTAAACAAGGTTTAAAATCTTACCAAAGAAAAGCCAATGGCTCCCACTGAAATTCCATATAGTCACAATAAAATGTTACAGTTTTAAATTTATTCAAAGCATGACAATTGATTTTGCTTGGGGTATATGTCCTCTGGACAAACAGTCAAGCTTAGCCCAGTTTCCAGAGTTACTAAACTTACTGCCAACTTACCGTAAGTATCCTGGTTACTTAATTCTTCTGTGGACTATATAGACTATGACGCTAAAACAGTTTTTCAAGAATACATAGTCATCATTTGTTTTTACATCAGTCATCAGCTGACAAACTTACTTGACCCAGACAGGGAAGGAATGTGTTTTCTATTTGTGAATTACTCATGTACCAGTCCTACCTGATTTCTGAAGTCACACTTACCTGAGAGGAATATTTACCAATCACAGGAAAAAAGAAATCCTACAGGGGTACTTAAAGTAGATATTTACTGTTAGTCATTTACCATACACAACTAAGTGACTTAAGATGCACCTTTCTTCGTTTTCTCCCTCAATGGATGACTAGGACCAATTTGTTCTGGTTTGGTTTTTAAGGTCATCATTCTTCAGCTTCTATCCACACAAAACCTGCAGTTGTATATTCTGAGTCTTACAATGCAAAGTGAAGAGCCTTACCACTAAAGTGCAGGAATTAAAACTCTTATTACAATGAACAACACCTGTTACAGAATCACACCACCACTGAAGTTGAAAGAAACCCTTCCAGATCTTCTAGCCCAACCCACTGTTCACGCAGGGTCAGCCAGAGCAGGTTGCTCAGGATCCTGTCCAGTCAGGCTTTTGAGTATCTCCAAGGATGGAGTCTCCACAGCCTCTCTGGGCAGCCTGTGCCAGTGTTTGATTGCACTCAGAGTAAAAAGGTTGGTCCCTATGTTTAAATGGAATTTCCTGTATTTCCATTTGTGCCCATTGCCTCTTGACCTTTCACTGGGCACCAGAGAAAGAGTCTGGCTCCATATTCTCTATACCCTGCCATCAGGCATTTATACACACTGTTAAGATCCCCCTGAGCCTTATCATCTTCTGTTCTATGCTTCAAATTTAATTACACAAACGAAAGAGGTAAACTCCTATCATGACAATGAAGCGCATACTAACAGAGCATACGGTCGCACAGCACCTACGGAATTCCTTGCTTCGCTGTCACCCACATACACAGCCTCTGCAAAACACACAAATGCTGCCCCACACAACCAGATGCAGTGCAGCTGGGGAGCAGTAGAACTTAAAACAGAGCTGCTGCATGGTACAAAAAGTGGAGATGCAAAGTAGACAGAATTAAGTATGTTGTGAGAAATCACTGCCACTCTTGGGGAAAGACAACAAAGAAGAACTTCTACCAGGAAAACATCTTCCCTCAAAAATCAAGTCACATCAATGCTACATTTAAGATCTCAGTCTAACAACTATTCATTTTACACAAGCACCTTTTGCTGAAGGATCTTAGCATAATGCAGAGCAAACATTAGAAGAGGAAGGTACTATTCCCACTATACTGACAAAGAAACTGAGGTGCAGAAGTGTCAACTGTCTTTACAGTTTCCTGGTTTTACAAGACATACACCACACACACCCCTACAAAGAAAGAAAGAAAGGAAGAAAGAAAGAAAAAAAAAAAAAAAAAAAAAAGAGTAACATCTGAGAGTTCTCAGTCCCAACCCACTGACTTAAGGAAGTTTTGCTATGACTAAGAGCTGGTCTGCACAATGAAATTGTCCATGCACCACTGAGATGTGATTTTAAATCGTGTTATTAAACCAGTAGATAAAACCAGTATAAATACTCTTCCTTTAATTGAAACAAAGTTTATTTTAGTTCACTTTACAGATCTGACTGTACACAAGTTTTATCTCTTCCTGACTAGTCCAACAGAGTTAAAAACACAATCTTGGATGTGTATACAGCAGCTGAAATGCCAAAGAGAGCTAGCAGTACAGGGACTTTCTGAGTCAAAGTTACTACACGAGAGCTCATGGCCACTTGAGAGCTGGGTGCCACGTGGCAGCCCATCATACAAGGATGAGCTCTTGCCTGCAAAAGAAACAGCTGGACCCTGGCTTGCAGCCTCTGCCAAGTTCCCGAAACTGAGTGGAGGCCCCTCCTCTGACAGGTGTCCTTGTACAAGTACAGCCCCTGAGCCAATAATATAATCCTGTTGCAAAAAGCCATTTGGATGCCATAATTGCCTCCCATGAAGCTGAATGTACCTATTTAACTAGAGGTCTTACCTGGGCAAATAAAAATTCAGTTACAACAACTGGATGAAACTAGATAAGATTATATAATGAAACATAATTTTATGCCATTTAAAGCAGCTCACACTGATTCGTAAATGATCTACTTATTATCTCTTCCATATAATTTCTAATCAGTTCAACATATTTTACACATCCAGTGGGAGATAGAAACAAAACCAGGAACTTGCAGAATTTAAAACATCTCCACAGTAGATGTTACTTTTCTTGACAAGTCCCATTGCAAACTTCTTTTCAGAAGTTTCTTATCCAACATGCTTACGCAGACAGTTGAATGTAGATGTATGAATTGCGCAACAAAGGTAGCACCCACTACTATGTTCTTCACCTAGAAGTCGCAAGAACTAGAATTGCAGTCTTTCGCTGTAAATCCTTATATATTACATTCACGGGGTATCCTACAATATAGGTCTTTTGAGGCATCATTTATAAAGGACTTCTCAGCCAAAACCTGTTCTGAACACACATAAATCAAAAAGTTCCACATTCTTTTACTGCTGCAAAATGCCCACTTCAGATCAAGGGGAGACTACACATGTCCTCTTTAATGCAAAGTCGTGTTGGTTTAGCATCTCTTACTCTTTTCCCAGTACTGCTCTTGTAGAGCCACCTCCCCCTTATGCTGCACTTGAGCTCTGCTGCTTTTAGAACAAAGTATCAGATAGTACCCAAAGAAGACCATGCCTCTCAGCATTCTTTTCAGCACTAAAAATCTATTATCATTACACAGAGGATAAAAATCCATATGCAAACAAACCTTTAGTAGTTCAGAATGTATACTTTAGTTTTATAGAGAGGTATTGTCACTAAAACATGCTGGCTGTTAAGAGGCTAAGTGGAAATAGGAAGCAAACCTCCTGTGCAGCATTGCCACAAAGCCTATCCAGTATTACAGTATTCAGTGCAATTTTACTTTGTACAGGCATCATTCTGACATATATTCCCAAACAGCTAGCTGAAATAACAGAACTACTAGTCAGGAGTTAAAAAGTAAAGGAAGAATGAGAAACAAAAAGTATCTAAGGTATTTTAAACACACAAGGAAAATTCTGATTCACTGGGGGGGGAGGGGGAAATCAGCTAAAAAAAAAGTCCAGAGTTACTATTTCATAATTCAAGTGAGTCTTTGTATCTTAGGGCACAGGGAGAAAAGAAGAGCATGCCCGGTATGCAGGAACCTGGATAGCTGGGGCTAGAACAGGTCACAAGGCAGAGAGCTATAATAAATAATAGGAGACTGAAAAGTCATGAAGGGGAATTCAGCCAAAATGGAGGTGAGACAACGAAATGCAAAGAGAATAACACAACAGAGAGATGAGACACACTGAAAGAAAATTTCAGATGTAAGGCAGATATTTACTCTTATATAGGGCAATCAGATGGCAGAAAGGGACACACTTCTTTCCACCTTATGCATTGAGTCCAGTCTGCTGCAGTCTCAGCTTCCCCTCCTCCACCTTCAGCATCCCAGAACTATTCCCATCCCATGGAAAACTAGCATGGGGTGGGGGGCTATTGAATCAACTCTCCTAAACAGTACATCAGCAACCATGCAACCACTAGTATTTCTGCAGGAACAAGAATGTAACGCAAGGGGCAAGAAAGCATTCAGCGAGAAACTATGGCCACCCAAACTTAGCTACCATGGAAACCCACCTGGAACTCAAAAAAAAAAAAAAAAAACCCACAACCTATTACTGAGGATACTGCACTTTCCCATACAAAATTTCATCTTGTTAAGGCTTTGCTTAGAGAAAATAAGAAGAGTTTACATCTTCATCCTCCAGATAGATGGAAAAGATAAACCAGAGGGTATCGGAGGAATAAGCAGAAAGAGGAAGGAGAAGCTGTCACAAGGAGACAGACCAGACAGCAGTGACAGCAGAGAAATACCGCAGAGAATCTGGGCACAGGCACTTTCCCAGGAGTTAGGAAAGACCTAGAGAAGGTTACCTAAGCCAGGAAGGAAGGAACTGGTACTATGTAATATTGAGGAGGAAGGGCTTTGGTGGGTGTTAGGCTGAGAACTTAAAATCTGTTGAGATGCTGGCAGAACGACTGTATGCAAGATCTGTACTGACACCCTGTAAATCAACACTGGTGGGACCCAAACCTAATTCTCACCTCGATTACATGCAATTACTTGCGTAACTCTGGTCCATGGGGCATTGCTCTTCAAAGGTGTCTCAACTGGCATTTCTTTCTTTCAGTACTGTGCTACAGAACGAATGGACATTTATCAGTCCTGGCTATGTTTAGACTGGAAA